AGTTTTTCCTGGCCAATTCTTTGAGCAGTGGATGGCTTCTTTCTTCCTAGTTTGTCTCAGCCTGTAAGCTGCATTGAAACCTGTGCACCATGTGCAGCCCTGCTGGCACTCGTATCACTGGTGGCACAGCCTCAAGCCTCACAGCAACACACAAGCCACAAGAGTACAACAAACTGACAGACAAGTTTGTCTCCCTTAGCTGTTCTTAACCTCTCCACCCTCTGCTTACCTGGATCCCTGTCGTCCCCTCTGGCTTCACTTTCCTGCCTGTTGGGGGTGGGGCCTGGATCCCTCCCCTTACCTGGCTGGATCCCTGGCTGCTAGTCTGCTGTGTCGCTCCCTCTGGCTTTGCTTTCCCCCACTTTCCAACACCCATGAGTTGGAGAATTCTCAAAAACAGAAATGGGATTCAGGCACTGGTAGTCAAAAACAATAGCATATCTTTGGTGAGATTTTTTGTAACTAGATCAGTGTTTCTGGAACCTTACTGTGCCAGTGAATAACCTGAAGCTTCTGCTCAAGTCCCCTTTTGAGCCTGAAAGAGGGTGAGGACAACAGTCAGGAAAAACACTCTGCTAAGGGATACTGGAACCTGAGGCAAAAGGAAAAATCTGTAATACTGGCCTGTCTTTATGTCAAATTTTGATATTTTGTTCATCATGAGATTTTTTTTCTTTTCCCCATCAATTTTGGGTTTTTAAAATAGTGCATTAAAATTTATCCTTATTACTGAGTTTTTGGGGCCGACTTGACGGCACATAACAACAACAACAACAACTGAGTTTTTGGTGTCTGAGATTTCACTTACTTCCCTCTAGTGTGTGGTGATTCTGTAGGTCTGGGGTAGGGTCCTAAACTCTGCATTCCTAACATTCTCTCAGATGACACAGGTGCTGCTGTTCCAGCCCACCCCCCTTTTTTTTTACTATCTCCAGAGGTAGTGGTGTTAGGTGCATCAAGTTGGCTCTGACTCATAGTGGCCCTATGTACAACAGAATGAAACACTGCCTGGTCGTGCACCAACCTCACAATCCTTGCTATACCCGAGCCCATCATTGCAGCCAGTGTGTCAATCCATCTTGTTGAGGGTCTTCTCCTTTATCACTGATCCTCTACTTTACCAAGCATAGTAGCCTTCTGCAGGGAATGGTCTCTTCTGACAACATGACCAAAGTAGGTCACAATTTTGTGACACTGATTACATTCTTCAATTTGCGTAACCCTTCTCATCTTCCTTTTCCAAACTATTCCTCCACCATTAACATAAACTAACTACCCCCTAAGTTTCCTATCTGATCTTTCCAGTTGCTGTTGTCAATCTGATCCCACATAGATAGATCTTAAAAGATCTATCTTAAAATGCACAAAGCAGACCATTCTTGTTAGTTAAACTATTGTTTGATTTTAGGAAGACTTCAGGGAATATTTTTGGTTTAAGGTTATCTCTGGGCAATAGTTTCAGGGGATTTGTCCAACCGCAATGACTGCAGAAAATCTAGACCCCATGAGAATTTGAAATTTTTCCCCTTTTGATCAGGTTTCTTCTATAGAATCTTTGATCAAAACATTTAGTAATGGTCTATGGCCCACACTTTGTGTAAGGTGGGCTTTAGAATCATTTTGTTTGAGATCCAGACCATCCAATTACAATTAAAAAGAAAAAAAAAGAAACAGTTGCAGTTGCTTCTGACTCATTGTGACCCCACGTGTTGTAGAGTTGAACCAGCTCCATAGGGTTTTCAAGGCTGTGACCTTTCAGAAGTAGATCACCTGGCCTTTCTTCTTAGACACTTCTGGGTGAGTTTGGATCACCAACCTTTTAGTTATACTTGAGTGCTTAACCATTTGTGCCACCCTTTGTTGTTGTCTCCTAATTCCAATTGAGGACCTAAGTGAAAATTTTATTTGTCCCTGATCATTATTTTTCTTTAACTCCCCCCCACCAAAACACAGTGAACAATATAACAAAATTCCATATAGCTTATTTTTTCACACATAATGCACCCATATGAATAATGCACATGTGTGCATAGCATGCAAAGAAAACTAATGCACAAGAAGGTTGCAGTTTGCAAAAAAACACTATAACATGCATGTTATTTGTGTAAAAGTATGGTAAATGCCTGGAAATGTTTCTCATTCAACAAAGCCTACAAAAACATAATGAGATTGCTCATAGAGAGTCACTGAAATCAGTAAAAAGTTCAACATGAAAAAGAAACCACCAGTGCTGAAGATCTTGTGGGTATTTTTTATTGAAAGATCTTTTCCCTTCAATAATGGACATTTTACATTAAAACTTTATACAACCAAAATCTCAAAATAATATTAAAATCACACTAAAGTATTCTCATAGTAAGTCTCTACTTAATTTTATTGTTGGTAAAAAATATTGCAAGACACTTGTAACTAGTGTTTCTGCTTTAAAATAAGCAAACTAAACGTCACAAGAAGAGACAATGAATACATACTATACATTTGCTGATAACTGGCTAAAATTATAATTTATTAATAATTAATAATGTTTATGTAAGAAACAATTGCACTTGAAAAATTAAAAAAGTAAACAAAAAAACCCTCTAGTTTTATATATAAGTCTATTAACAGAGGTTAACCATCTATAACCTTGCCAGGAGAATGTGTGTTTACTTTAAAAAAAAAAAAAGAGAGAGAGAAATTTAAGCTTGTGTTTAACGTAGCAATCATTCATTTTAAAAAAAGAAAAAAAAAAGTCTTGAATTTTTGTATGTTTTTATACAATTTCCCCAGGTTGGTTGTTGAGCAGAAAAGACTGTAACACAATTAAAGCATAATAACACTTCCTTGGTATTTAGTGCAAATTTGGGGTGATTTTTACATGAAATGTTAAGTGTGTACTCTTTAGAAGTTGTTGTTGGAAGTAAGTACTGTGACTGTTCTTTCTTCAGTACACTCATCTTTTAAAGACTCAGACATACAATTTTTCAGTTATTTCTCCTACTCTGGATGCCAGTAGAGTTGACTGTCTACCATTCTTTGTTAATGATTTGATTCTCTCACCCGTTTTCTGCCATTACTGTGGTATTACCCAAAGCTTACAGGATGAAATAAAAAGTCAATTCATAAGAACAATTAGTACAATAATTCCAAGGCTGTAAGTGGAAAGAGTCCCATTAAAAGTGTTACATTAGTGAGGAAACCATTAAAACTAACAAATGCCTACATACAAGATTTAGAAATGAGCATCCATGTGGAAAACGTGCAGTGGAATATTAATTGCTTTCCATAGCAATAAAAAAAGTTAACGTTATATTGATTCTTAACAGTCTGAAGGCCCAGCATATATAATATGAAATCCAACTTGTAAGAGGACAATAGCAGCTTGGCCACATTTGCCAGCTGCTATAGTGAGGCTACTGTTCCCAGAAAGGAAATGCTTTCTACATGATAAATAACTTCGCTGTCATCCTTCCTTAAGGGTATATGATGGAATAGTAATACATTGCATATTGAGTAGGCACAAAGGAAAGTAATGATGGACACGAATAACATTTGTTTTTGTAGGAGAGGAAAAGAGGATGGCATTCCCCCTGCTGCCAATAAAGGATATGTACACATATTTTGGAATCAGAATCTCAGGAAAGAGGAATATGCCAACAGCATGAGATATAAAGTTAGCATCAGCAAAATGTGGGTTTGCTGGTATGTCTATGTTTCATATGATGGCAATTTGGGGAATAAAAAGTGAATATATGTGACTTTTAAGCTGCCAAGTCCCTTCTTTGTATGCACAATAACAAGGCCTCTTAAAGCTCCGAGATATTTATTAAAGGGAGCAAGGTGATTGCTCTAAATTATAAATGCTACTGAATATTTGGCTCTAAATATGAAAAACGCAACTATGGTGAAGAAAACAACTTCCTGCAGGAAGTCCTTATTACTTCCTGTTAATATTCCCTGAAGACCTAAAGGCATTTTCAGAGACATGTAATGTCAGTAGCCCCTCTTAACTTGTAATAAATGGCAGGTTTTGGGGTTTATTATTTTTCCTGTCTCATTTTTGCTTCTTTGGGTGAAATACACCTCCCCTTCAGATTTGAAACACCACAGTGTGCTAGAATCAGTGGTTCTCAACCTCTGAGAGAGAGCAGAATTCACCTAAAGAGTTTTTGCCAGAATGTATATTCCTGGTCCCGTCCTCACACGATCTGATGCAGTGGGCCTGGGGTGAAATCTGGCCAGCTGAGGAACCACCACACTAGATGGAAAGAGAAGTTATAGCTGATACAGAATTTCCTTTCAAGATATTAAAACAAAAATGTTGCTTAGAAGCCAACTGGTCCAAGTGTTCATTATGTCCTTAAGGAGGGAATTGGTATAACTGGATCAACAGTATGGTAGAAGTGTGGATGGCTTTGCCTTTCATGTATAGCTTCAGGATGAGGAAAATTCAAGAAAACCATACCTGGGTGCAGAGTTGGGGGCCAGGTTGCTTCTCACAATTCCCGGTACTCTCTGTATTCAGGAGAATGGGTGTCCTTGTTTCCAGCTACACGTGATCTTATCACCATTACCATAGAAAAGGGTAGAAACCCCCAAAGAGACAGTGGGTAAATGATTTTGGATTTAAAAAAAAATTGTACCAGAGAATCAAAGCGCCATTACAAAGATTGGCAAAAGTATGTGTTATGAATTGGGTATAGGGTATGAAAGAACTATGGAACAGGCAAGGCAGGCTCTCGTCAGTCCTTAGGTTGGAGATTATGTTTCTTGTAGTCCCTCGGATGGACTTTTCTTTTTAGAACTAGGAGGAGCTCAAGGCACCAAGACCTAGGGTTGTGCAAATACACTCTTTATAATGAACATGGCCAGTTCAGTTTCTAAACATTATTTTTAGAGCCTATGAGACATGCTTCTTTTTCCTAGTTGTTTTTTTTTAAGCCTCATATAAAAAAATAAATAAATAAAAAGGTCAAGAGAGGAGCTGAAAACAGGCAACAGGAATGGATAAGAGTCCCTCTTTACTTAATAATCTGCGGACAGTCGCTCCAGGCCTTGGCTTTCCTTTTGGCCAAAGCCAGCCAGGCTGGTTCTGTGGACACAGGGGCAGTGTCTGGCGTGGAGAACCTCTTCGTCACTTCTTTCACCAGGGGCGCTGGGGGAGCTGAATCCGAGATCTCCACTGGATTTTGTTTGGAAGGAAAAGGAGAGAGGAGTAAGTCAGAACCATGTTTGGATTTATCGTAAGTATTCAACTCAGAAAGGAAAACTTGGTTAAGCACAGAGAAGGAAGTTTCCGGGCCCTCTGGTGAGAATATCCTCATTTCGGATTTAGGGAAAGAACGCCATGTGATAATAACTGCTGCATACAGAGTAACAGTGGCCACGGTGCAGTCAGTTCTAATTTCTGAGGGTTTCTAGATTCTTCATGCCCTGTACACAGGAGCTGTGCCTGCATAATAAGAAACAAATGGTTGATTCTGTGATTTTGGTCACACAGCCAGTCACTTCTAGTCACACAACTACATGAAGAAAACAATCAAACCAGCAGTTAGAACCTATCAAGCTGGTGAAGACAAAAGTTAGCTCCTCCAGCAAGTAGTTGGACCTGTGGGCTCGGGACCATAGTTGGAGGAGGCATCAAGCTCAACTGGCATAACATACTACATAAAAACATTGTTCCACATCCTACTTTGGTGAGTAGTGACTGGGATCTTAAAAGCTTGCAAGCGACCATCCAGATGTAATGAGGGTCTCTCCTCATCCAGAGTAAAGAATGAAGGAAACCTAAGATGGATGGAAACAATTACTCTAAGGGACTGGTACACCATGTGATCCTCAGTCTATATAACCCTGAGACCAGAAGAACTAGATGGCGCCTGGCTACCACTGTTACCCACTTGGAGGGGGATCTATGTAGGAGATCCTGCATAGAGTGGGAGAACAATGTAGAACAAAACTCAAAATCATTTGGAAAAAAAAAAAAGGGACCAGGTTTGCTGGTCTGATAGAGCCTGGTGGAACCCCTGAGACTATGACCCCTAACTGCCCTTCAGGTCTGGAACTAAACCCACTTCTGTGGCTTCCAGACAAACAAAAGACAGGCGTATGAGCTGAACATTTACATTAGGTAGATACACTCTTTGGAGAGATCAATCATGGGAGAATAGGAGGGCTGTGTAAGCACAGGGAGACAGCTTGAGGGGCAGGAGTTCATAGAAGGGAACACCACAGGGAAGAGGTGGCTATGGGGAGGAAGTAGGAAGGGAGCTGTTGCATTGTGGAAAATTGCAGTCAATGTCATGAGACAAATTGTATGTGAGCTGCTGTATGGAAAATGAATTTGCTCTGTAAACTTTCACTGAAATCACAATAAAAATTAAAAAAAAAAAAGGTTAGCTCCTCTACCAGGCACCCCCCAGTGTCCCACCAGTTACACCACCTCTCATGACTTCTATCTTCTCTAACAACTCCTTTGCACATGTATCACTTTCTGTTGTCATTGGCTGCTGTTGAGTTGGCCCCTGACTCATGGTGACCCCACACACAATGAAACAAAAATACTTCCCAGACGTAATATTGCACTGGGCAAATCTGCTGCAAAAGACCTCTCAAAAGTGTTAAGAAGCAAAGATGTCACTTTAAAGACTAAGGTGTGCTTGACCCAAGCCACAGTATTTTCAATCGCCTCATATGCATGTGAAAGCTGGACAGTGAATAAGGAACACAGAAGGATTGATGCCTTTGAGTTGTGGTGTTGGAGAAGAACACTGAAAATACCATGGACTGCCAGAAGAACTAACAAATCTGTTCTCAAAGAAGTGCAGCTGGAATGCTCCTTGGAAGCGAGAATGGCCAGAGTTTGTCTCACTTACTTTGGTCATGTCAGAAGGGACCATTCCCTGGAGAAGGATATCATGCTTGGAAAACTAGAGGGTTATTGACAAAAGGGGAAGACCCTCACCAAGATGAGCTGACACAGTGGCTCCAATGACGGGCTCAAGTATAGCAAGGATTGTGAGGAGAGGGCACAACCGGGCAGTGTTTTGTTCTATTGTACCTAGGGTTGCTATGAGTAGGAGCTGACTTGAGGGCACCTAACAACAACAACAAGAAAGATCAAATGAAATGGTGCCCATGGAAGTGCTATTTTTATTTTATTTTTTAGGAGTCCCTGAGTGTGCAAATGGTTAAGTGCTCAATTACTAGCTGAATGACAACTAACTGAAAATTTGGCAGTTCAAATCCACCCAGCGGTGCCTTGGAAGACAGGCTTCGAGGGCTGCTTCTGAAAGGTCACAGTCTCGCAAATCCTGTGGAGCAGTTCTACTCGGCAACAAATGGGGTCGCCATGAGTCGGGATTGACTCGACGGCAATGAACAACAACAATGCTATTCAGATGTAAAGGTATGTGTGTGTGCACATGTGCATGTGTTTCTTACCAAGAGTAAATGTAGTTTTAATAGTCAGACCTCCTTACATTTCCAGACCTCAGCTAGCAGGTAACCAAGGCATAGAAAACTCTGGATCTCAGAGCAGGGTGCTGCTCTCTTCTGGGGAACAGTGCTGCCTGGTGTGGAAGATGTGACCTAATTAAGTCCTGAGAGGGAGCTTGTTGGATTTATCTATACTCCATGTGTTTTGGATTAAGAAATCATTGGGAGCATCATTGGATCATTTCATCTTTTAACAGAAAAGAGAATTTTAAAAAAATGCATTGGTTTCTGTGTTATGAACGTATAAACACTGCTGTTGTTAATTAACAGAAGGGATCTAGTGCTGAGAAACTTTGATCTCTAAAATCATGCATTGTCGGAAACTCTGCTGTTTGAAATCATATCACGAGAATGGAACATCTCACTCCTGCCTGGAGGATCTGAACCATGTGGGTCACTTCGATGCAGATAAACAGCTTTGATTTCCAACCTAGGTGGGGAACCAGGTTTTCAGCTACAATGTTCCACACATTTATCTTGATTTTGTTGTTTCAAAGGAAACAGGAGGAGTCAGCTTTTTAGACCAGGCCTCATGAATGCAAGTCACCTAATGACTCCTTTGTAGGCATATCATTTTCTTTCCAAAACTTTTATAAATGGCTACTTTGCTTTAAGCCCATCAGAATACTACTGTTGTTTTGTTGTTGATATTAAGTGCTGTCAAGTTGGCTCTGACTCATAGCGACCCTATGTATAACAGAACAAAATGTTGCCCAGTCCTGGATCTCTGTAGGAGATGCTGGATAGAGTGGAAGAACAATGTGGAACAAAACTCAAAATCATAAAAAAAGGAAAAAAAAAAAAAAAGAGACTAGGTTTGCTGGTCTGATGGAGCCTGGTGGAACCACTGAGACTATGGCCCTTAGCTGTCCTTCAGGTCTGGAAGGCTTCCAGACAAACAAAAGACAGACATATGAGCTGAACATTTACATTAGGTAGATACACTCCTTGGAGACCATCAATCATGGGAGAATAAAAGGGCTGTGTATGCACAGGAAGACAGCTCAGGGGGCAGGAGTGCATGGGAGGGAAGGATGCAGGGAAGAGGTGGCTATGGGGAGGAAGTGGGAGGAGAGGTGCTGCATTGTGGGAGATTGCAGCAATGTCAGGAGATAAAGTGTATGTGAACTGCTTTACGGAAGATGAATTTGCTCTATAAACTTTCACTTAATTCACAACTGGAAAAAACAAAGCAAAACAAAAAACGTTGCCCAGTCTTGCATCACTCTCAAGACAAAAGGAAAAACACAAAAATGGGCTCTTGGCTTAGCCGGAACCCTTGTCAAGAGAACAACAGTGACTCCATCTTGACCCATATATGAACTCTCTGCAAAATCCCCTCTCAAGTTTTGCCAGCAGTTAGCCATGAGAGGTACTGGTAGGTTATTTTCATAAGCTTAAGGAAATATCTGTACCTATGAATACTCTGTAATTGGTCAATGCCCCTCAACCCCCTTCAAAAAATGTTTTTCTGACCTCCTTATAGTCCTTTGTAGTTTTCCATTACCTTGTTCTAACCTATTGTGGTAGTTAAGGTGATGTGTCAATTTGGCTGGGTCTGGTTGAGTGGCTGGGCAGCTGGACATAGTTATTCCACATGGTGAGATTGGTAATTAACTCCTTGGTGGAATCTACTGGAGGAGCTGAGTAGCTGCTTTAGGGATGTGGGCTGCTTCCAGTATATAAGAAGCAACTTTGAGGAAGTCTCTAGCATTTTGGCACGCCTGAACCCTGTATGTAGCCAAGTCATTGTTCAACAGCCTGTCATGCCCTGCTGATCTTGGGACTTCTTCTGGACTTGAATTAGTGGCTTGCCATGTTGTTTGGTAACATTGGGACTGTGCCTTTTTGCTTGTCAACCTTGGGTTTGTCAGCCTCAGCAGCCAGCAGCTGCCTGAGTGAAGAAAAGCCTCTAGCTTCAGTGGGCCGGGAGCAAGTGGCAGAGCTGAAGCCCAAGGTTGAGGGGGCTTTCTCACACAGCCCCTAGTGCCTGGCACTTTCAACTCAGACTTCAAGCCTCCAAAACTGTAAGAGAATAAACTTCTGCTTGTTAAAGGCATTCCACGTGTGGTATATTTCTGTCAGAGCAGCACTAGGTAACCTAAACACCTACCCAGGTATCAATCAATGAAAATGAGTTGTTGTACCCCAGCTGCCTGCAGTTTTTGCCCTTATCATTCCGTACCTCAGTGAAGTGGTCTGTCTTACCCTGTAGGATTCACCACCTCCCCAACATAAGTTGCCTGTACTCCCAATAAATCTCTCTTTAATTTTAAAATTTCCTGAGTCTGAGTTTTACTTGTGGATGTTTCTTTGGTGTCAGTCAGCAAGACCCAAAGGTGCCTTACCACTAGTGGCCCCAGGGAGTCAGGAACTTGGAGTTTGGTGCCGTCACTAACCCTTTGTGCTCATCTGTCTCCATACCCTCCCAGAGTCATCCCAGTAAGAGCTCTTAGATCGAACTCTGTTCTCTTTTGTGTAGCATTCTCTTGACAGATTTATTGACTATCTTTTTCCTTTACTCTCTTTTTCTACTCATCTTTCTGAGCAGTTTAATGAATTCATTGTAAGTATGTGAGAGATATTTATTGAACACTTTCCCTTCTGGGCACTCATTAAAGTTCAGCATGCTATGGCAGGAATGCCTACATATCACTAAGTATTACTGGAGGCAGTTGTCAGGCA